AAAAAAAAAAAAAAAAAAAAAAAAAAAAAAAACGTAATTAAGTTTTTTTTTCTCTTTTTTTGTTGGCACTTGCTTGGCGCGTTCTGTCAGCATCGGTGATGGCCTTATGTTCTATTGCAGTCTATTAATGCCAGTCTGTTACTGCCAACATTCAATGAAAACCAGTCCAGCAATAGGGTGGTAGAGTGCAAGAAAACAGTGCCATGTAGTTTCTCAACTGGAGACCTGTGAAAGACACAGACAGAGATATTAGAGATATTTCAACAAATGCCAGAACATAATCAACCAAATGCCAGACTAACTAGACCCTTAGACATGCAAAGCCTTCAAAACGTGAAGACTAAAAAAGTGATACAGATCAGCGAATTCAATCTTTTGAAACTGATTTTAAACACACACTACCGTGTTTGGTGTCAGTATTAAGAAAAAAAAAAGAAATGAATATTCTTATTTAGCAAGGATGCATTATGTAGATCAAAAGTGACACTAAAACATAAGGTTTCAAACTATTTCCATTTCAAATAAATGTTTTTACTTAAGTTTCTATTCAACAAAAAAAATAAAAAATAAAAAAAAGTGCATCAGTTTCCACAAAAAATATTAAGCAGCTCTCAATATTGTTTAACTATTGTTTTCAATCCTGATAATAAATGTTTTTTTTAAGAAATGTTTTTTTGAGTACCAGCATATTAGAATGATCTCTGAAGTATCACATGACACTGAAGACTGGAGTAATGGCTGATTCAAATGATTCATTAATAATTTTACTGCCACTGTGTAAATAAAGAGGTAAACAGTGCAAACATTTCATAGGCCCTGAGAGTTCTATAGGGTCTATGGCTTACCCAAGACTGTCTAAGCAGACTGTTACCTAACAATCTTTAGCACTGAACCTCTATTTATAACAAGCCTCGTGAACCTAATCTAACAGGTTAGCTCACAACATTACTATAACAGAACTCTACTCAGACTGACAAAAGCTCTATTCGGAGGGGATCAGCCCTGTATGAGAAGGTGAGGCAATATAAGAATTGTGTGATTTTAATCCTGTATAATTTGTCAGTAATATTTTCCTGACTTCCTATGTGCTGTGCGTTCACATGCAGATACATTTTAATGCATCGTTTACCTTTTATTTAAAGGGGTCCTATTATGCTTTTTCACTTTTTGAATTGTAGTCAGTGTGTAGTGTGTATGTTTGGGCATAAAAAAAGATCTAGAAAGTTACAAATCTCAAAGTCCACTCCAAAGGGAGATATTTAGTTTTTTAAAAATCAATTTTCAAGAACTACAGCAAACGGCTCGTTTGGACTACAGCATTTAGGTTTCCGGGCTTTGTGATATCACAAAGTGGCTCATTAGAATTTCATTACAAAGAATTCCCGCCTACAGAAATTCGAATGGTTGGGGGGTGGGGAGGGGCGAGGTTGTGGTTAGAACGCTTGGTTGAGTGAGCGCATCAGACGAGACGACGAAGAAGAGCTGCTGTGCTGTAGCCTCAAATTTTTGGCATGTCTAGAACGGCGGTTCTCATTTCCAGTCCT